CCACTGATGGACAGGACAGCACATTATGGAGGACGACCACGGCGAGGATGACAATCGCGCACATCATGCGGAACACAACTTAACGGCACATGTTGACGAGTGCGTGCGCCCAGGTGCTGGAGGGTTCTATCTAAATACCGATCTTCACATTGTCGGCATTGAAAGAAATAGATAAGGTTACTTTTACTAAGGGTAGGTAGAACATCCTTCTTCACACTGAACGCACGCACTGTCCCAAATATGACGTACAGCTTGACATAAGGACATAAGGATACGAGTTAAGAGTAACTCTCCATCACTGTGACTGCATACTATAATACAGTCAGAAAGTGCAATTACCAGGCACACAACTGACAAGAGTACTCAGGCATTCGACGTTCTGACACCTAGCTTCAACACATCTCCGTAGCGCTAACCGACAGCCTTCCAACTTGGAAGGTTCAAGCTTATGGAAAGACCAAAGAGGGGAAGGCAAGCGCAACGAAAACAAGCAAAAGCTACAGTTCCAACGGAACAAAGAATGTCGATTCTTACTGGACGATGACGAGACCAGTACGATATTTGACAAAGCGGCCTAACTACAATTCGAAGCAGCAAAGCAGCACACCACCCAACTTGGGTGGGTCATAAATATCAAAGATAAGCAAAGAAAGGGGAAGCTTTGCGAAACGAATTGTACAAGCCGAAAGCCAAACTCCTACAGTACTCCTCATGCATGACATTGTGATGGACTAGTTGACTACAAAACAAGTTGTTTCACACGACGTACGTTTCGCCGTATGGTTCGTGACGGCTTATCAGGTTTGCAATTTGAAACTCGGATGTTGAGCCATAAATAAATGTAGAAAGGAAACTGGATACTATAATACAGTCAGAAAGTGCAGTAACTAGGCACACAACTGACAAGAGTACTGAGACATTCGACATCCTGACACCTACTTCCTCCGCGTCATCGAAAGTGTCGCAGTTTGACTTTTGATATAAAACGGGGTATTTACTCACCAGCACTCGTACCAGAGGCAAGGAATCGGACATAGGCGATAGTCATCAGTATAGGGTGACGGCAAAGTTCTATTTTCTGTTATTGGGAGCTGGAATTTTTGAACTAGAAGCAATTTCTTCGCTGATGTCGCTGCGATGGTAATTTCGACTCGCTGAGATCAGTCAGGCGTTGCAGACTGCACATTTCTTGTGCTTATGGCCATTCACTCAAGCCTCATCACTGTTTAACCTTAGCTGGGGCGAGAATGACTTTGTGGAACAAGTGGCAGCGCTTGGAGAAACATCGAGGGGTCAGCAAACTAGATGCCTGCAACAGCGATAAAATTTGTCGCTCTGGCTGACACACACAGTACACATGGTACATGATTGTACCTGCAAGAGCCGTTTAGACTCTACACGTAGTGCTAGTGATGCACGCGCAGGTGCCATACCATGGTATACCAGTGATGCTGAAAAAGAGGGCGCGCTGGACGTGATAGTACACTTACCTGCATGAGCTGTGACCACACAGCTAAAATATATGGGCATGCCACGGCTAAAAAAAGTTCATTTCAAGATCGAGGTGATTTCGCCGACGGTAATCAACCGACCTCGCAACGATCGTGTATTCTTACTAGGCTTTGTTGGTGGTGAAGTAGAAATCATCCAGAGCTAGTAGACGACAAGCATAGCAGCTCTTGTCCTGTGGAGATAGTCAAAGCGTTTGGGATGAGGCGCAACCAACTTTCAACCTTCCTTGAAATATTTCGGAACGATATTTTTGCGTCCATTGACATCAGCGACGACGAGGACTTCATCTCTGCATGAAAACTTTCAGTCCAACTGTCCTGGTACGTTACTCTAGTCTTCAGACTATCAAACTGTCTAATTTTGAATGTCTTAGCTTATGGAGTTGTCAGTAACAAATGACAAGTCACTAGTCAAACTGCGACAATTTCGATGACGCGGAGGAAGTAGCTTCAACACATCTCCGTAGCGCTAACCGACAGCCTTCCAACTTTTACTTATCTTTGATATTTATGACCGACACAAGTTGGGTGGTGTGCTGCTTTGCTGCTTCGAATTGTAGTTAGACCGCTTTATTCCGTGATATTTGTACATCCAAGAAGGATAAGCTGCCGTTTTGTTCTGCTTTCGACGTGAATCTCAACGCCGGGGTGGAGGCTATTCAGAGTCAATAGAAAAGTTCCACAGACATCCTCATCCTCATCGTGACAGTACACATCGTCTACAAAACGACAGTACATAGAGGGCCACAATGGTGGACTAATGGACGCTTCACAGAATCCTACAAATATATTAGCCAATACAGGACCAAGCGGCGAGCCCATGGCAACACCATCTATTTGTTTATACATAATGTTGCCAAATGAAAACTCAACGCCCGACTACCATAACAAGTAGTTTCACTCGACGTACGTTTCGCCGTACTGTTTGTGACGGCTCACCAGGTGTGGAAAATTGAACTCGGATAATGAGCCAGTATGATTTGAAAACTAGAAGAAAACACGGACATCGAGTTCTGTTTTTATCTCTGATATTGCTGACCCACCCAAGTTGCGTGGTATGTTGCTTTGCATAGCTACGGGAATAATTGTAGTTGTCATGTTATTGTCATGTAGTTGTCATGTTATTAACTGGTCTCGTCATCGTGCTGTAACAGTCGGCATTCTTTGTTGCCGTGGGACCAAGCTAGTGCTCATTTCTGCTGCGCCCACCTTCCATTCTTTGGTTCTACCCAACCTTGAACCTTCCAAGTTGGAAGGCTGTTGGTTTGCGTGCTGGAAATGTGTTATAGCTAAGTCTTAGGTCGCTGAAGGTCTCAGTAGCCTGTCAGTTTTGTGCCCTATCATTGCACGTACTGACCACTTATTATCGCTTATTATCTTGCTACATTCGTGGATAGCTGCTTCATAACTCGTTCATACTTTCTGCAGTAATAGCTCTGTCGCATCCCCACGCTCAGTAAACCGGACCCAGAAATCACTACGAGCGGCAACCAAACAGACGTGTGGCCTCACGATGAGCCCAGCACAAACCAGGGGCCAACCAATATAGCTGGCTTGGTCCAAGTTGAACCCCACACGATCAACAGATAAGGATTGTTAGCTTCACGTTTGAATTCTTTATTCTCACGATGGCACCATCGCCAATAAGAGATAAATTTATGAGAAGGTGAGATTGTGGGTTAAACAGTTGGAAAGTGATTTCCATCACTTTGAACTTTACAAGTATGGGAGAGGGTGAGCGCTGCAGGAGCAGATTGAGTTAATCAGCAGTGAGCAGATTTCTTGTTTGAAAGCAGGTCGGGAGGAGACGTCACGAATGCTAGCAGGGAGGGCATTGTAGTATTCTAGGGACTTGTACAGTGGGGAGTCTTTACAGCGATCGGTTCTGGAGGGTGGGAGGTGCCAAGTGCGTGCGTGTCGAAGGCTGTACTGGGCCGTAACTTGAGCTGGGGTGTTGAGCAAGCGTATGTGTTGTGGGGCATATTGGTATTTTATGGAGTGAGCAAGAAGGGTGAGCTTCACTTTACGGCGAGAGAACATTGTCGGCCATTTGAGCCGATTGAGCAGTGTTGAATGATACAGAGGAGTGTGGAGGGGGAGACGGAGGCAGATTCTGGCCGCCTTGCGCTGGATTCGCTCAAGACGGTCAAGGGCTGAGATTGAGAGCGGGGTGACAGCAATGCACGCATATTCAATTATAGGCAGGATATACGTTTTGTAAATGAGAGAGAGAGTGATTTAGTGTGTAGAGTTGATTTGAGCCTAAAGAGAATATTATAAGATTTTACGGCTTTCTTCAGCACAAAGTCAAGGTGGGCTGACCATCTTAGGTCGTGCTGAAAGATGATGCCGAGGTGCCGATGTTGTGTTACTGTTTCTAGTAGGGTTTGGCCCAGTTTTATTTCGGGTAGTCGTGGTGGGGGTCGGTTAGCATGGTAGAACGTGAGGATGACGGTTTTCGTTTTATTGACTAGCAGGTGCCAGCGCTCTAGCCATTCTGCTGCAGCATCGACGCTTCTTTGTAGCGCAGCCTCACACTCAATGTAGCTGCCTGCAATGGCAATATGTGCGGTGTCGTCTGCGAACTGGCTACACAAGGTTGTAGTATTTTCACAGGCAGTGGGCAGGTCAATGGTGTACTCCAGGAACAGAAGTGGTCCAGGACCGAGCCCTGGGGCACTCCCGCTGGTATTGGTATGAAGGCGGATGTTGTGCCTAAGTGCGGTGCTATGTGATTGTACAGACGAGAGTGGACTATTTTTTCTTGTGTTTTGATATTATACTGAGCAGGGAGATGGGTCGGTAGTTGGTAAGATGGGAGGGGTTGCCCGACTTGGGAATGGGTGTAATAGTTGCGTCTTTCCAATCCTGTGGTATTTCTCCGGTTCTGAAGGACAGATTGTAGAGACTAGTGAGAGATGGGGAGACTTCCTTTGCAGTTTCTTTCAGGAGCCGAGTTTGGATGTTGTCAAAGCCTGTTGTGAGTAGTATAGAAATCCGAGCTCAAAGAAAAACCAAGACTAAGAGCTGAGACCCGAGCATCGACTGCCCTGACTGAACTGAAGTGAAAGAGAGAATGTATGTATGTATGTAAGTGTGTATTCTTTATTTTACTTCGCAAAGTCAAATGGGATCGTTGCCCAATAATATCATAGCGAAGGGGGGGGGGGGGGGGATACATGAGCCAGAGTGCGCTAAAACATGACCACAGCTTTTTTGGAAAAAGTCGAGAAAATCGCGATTTGAATTCCGCAGCAAAGAATACGAAGTGCAGTGCAACGGGAGTGGCTGTTGTTGTTCTCCTCGGTCGACTGGACTGTTCCGGATGCATTTTCTTTGTTGCAAGTAAGTTTATTTGTTTGAGTTTGTATTCCATGTTGTGCTGAGTCGCCTAAAACTGATCGTCATCGATGTATCGACGGAAGAGCCTAGTGGTAGTACTGTACTGCGGAGCGGAAGAAGACGACAATCTCGCACTCCATGCGCAGGATGAATTATTTTGAGGATTTGGGTCGGAAACAGAAGGAAGACGATGATGGCTACAGCGACGATTCATTTGAGGGCAACACTTTCATCGAGCGTAAAAGAATTGATGCTGGTAGTCCCGCGATCTGCAGTGACGAGGAATTCTACTCTGATGACAACCTGGCAAGCGATTGGCATCGACACTGACTTGGGAGGTGAGTCGGCCGATGAATTGACCAGAATGGACATCGCTGCACATATCCGGGACAATGCCAGTATTGATTGCAAGTGCAAAAACATCAATGAACTTTGCTGCTCCCTCAACTTGCTCAAGTCAATAATTTGAGTAACCTTATGTGGAACATCGCTAGCACGAGCAGTAGGCAGCGAAAGCAGTACTCTCTGGCGAGCGGAGAAAAACGTGTGCAGATGGGCTTTTGTGTGGGGAATATGAGTGCGACGTTGAGTATGTTGAGGAAGACTGTGTGCAGCAGTGTATACTGTATATCTGAAAGTACAGGTGGAGTGTGATGGAGAGGACGTGGAGTGCAAACTTCTTCGGCCATCTACAGATATGGACAGTGTTTTCGCTGGCAGTTCTCCAGTGGTGGTCCAACCAGGAGGTATTTCGGACACCCAGCTCAGCTGCCTATAGATATTTTGGATGTGGCCGAGTACCTGTCAGCTCATGCTTTTCGACCCTGGACAGAGGAACTGACCCGGAAAGGATGAACCAAGAGACTGCGTGCAAAAATGACAATCCCTTTGTCGTCCATAGAATTTCACCATTTCAACAGTGCTTTATATAATACCATTGTAGCGATCCTTGCAGAGAAACATGAAATGCATTGGGGGGTTTTCCCTTTTAGCTTCCCTTAGGTTACAGGAACGTTAAATTGGGAGTACTTCAGTACAACAAAACCTTTGCAATAGGAATGATCTGTGCAAGATCAAGGAGAAAGATGGAAACGTGTGGTTTGTGTTTCTTACAGAGGTATATGACTGAATGAATTGAGAATTATTCTCCTCTGAAACTTTTTCGCAGGATTGCACAGTCAATTTAAACCCCCAAAGGGAACGTGCCTGTAAATTTTGAGCGAAATCTGAGAGATCGACTTTCACACATACATACTTTGGCAGGGTTCTAGCCAAAGGGGGTAAGGGGGCACAGTGCCCCCTCCGCTGTTTGCGCCCCCCCCTCCTGTGAAAAATTGCCGCCCTCTACTTATTTTTCGATTTTTCGTGTTTTCCAAAACAATATCGGGAAGTGGAAAGATGGGGTAATCAACTCCATTTCAAAACTATAGACGCGTAGGTTTTTTGAAATATTTCAAATTTGGCTGGAGCTTTTTGAGAATAGTTTTCGGAATATTGCTCAGGTCCGCTCCACAATTACTCTCATATAGTTTCTTAACGATTGGATAACAGACGCCCAATTTGGAGAAATTTATGCACAAAGTGATCGAAGATTTTATGTGGTACCTTTCTATGTTCTGTTTCTCTACATTACTATAATACTGGTGCAGTGTCGTGCAATGTTCTCACATGCAACAATACAGCAGTAAGCAACAACACAGTCGGACGGAAGACTACCAAGGGTTCTCGACTCTTGGAGACATTCCTCTCCAACAGCAGGGAGATATTGCTTGTCGACGAGCCGCATGTGGATACGACGGGTCGCAAAGGAACCGTAGAATTGACTTTGTCGTAAATGTGTGGAAGTATAGACTTATTAGACACCCTTAGCAAACAAGGTTATGTTCCCTCAAACCAGTTAACAAGGTTATGTTGTAACGGTATTATCGTAAGGGGGAAAATACCGTGATTTGGGCTCGACCTTTTAGCAAGATGCACACTGTTTTTAGTACGCTGTAGCCACGAGAATAGCTTTTACTTCGCGCGGTACAACCATTAATGTCATCATATACGCAATACAAGGTGAAATTCGTACGGACTATGCAATATTTGGCCAAAACACGTACCTTTGGTCACAACGATAAATCATCCCCCATAACGTTTTTACGCTGCAGCTTCACTGCTATTTGGGTGATCAAGGTACGAGTACCGTAAAAAATAGTGTTACCGTTGTTTGTTAAGGGCGTCTATTGAGTGCAGGCGGTAGTTTGTCAAGAGTAATGCCGTCAACGGTAGTGCGTGTCTGTCTGTCAAGATCGCAGACGGCTATATCGCACTTTTCATTTTATTTTGTGTGCTTTGCATGCACAGTCTTCTTAACAACGGAGTTTCACACAACCTTCGCTTGTGCGCTCTCAAGTTTCCTACGGATTTTTCAAATGGCAACATCTTAAATTCAGGTGGTGTAAAGAATTATATTGCTTCAAGTAAGTAACCCTTTTATACCACATCATACATTCCAGGGCTTACCGGTGGCCAATAAGTCAGTGGCCAAAAAGAAATAATAGTGTGAGAGAGGAGAAAGAGTGAGGAAGAATTGGGTGGGCACGGCCTAGGGATTAATGACTACTTTAGTTTACGGGCAGAGGTGGTCGCTACAGGAGCACACAGAGTTGTGCAACAGCAGGGACATCTGGGATTTGAAGAGAGTACGAGAAGAGATTTCGTAAAGCTGGGTGGGCAAGCAATTTTAAAAAGTAATGAAGGGCTTTGTTCAGGGGAGAATGGAGACAGCAAGCAGGCCACGGTGTTGGCAAGTGCCAAGCACGAGAGCGACGTAAATTATACGAATATTGTACGCTGCTAGCAGTATGCAGCGAGAGTATAATTATGTGATTGGGCATACTTGTGGCGCAGAGAATGTGCGAGGAGTATATGTTTAACTTTAAAGCGTGAACATAATGTTGGCCATTTGATGCGATGCAAAAGGTGGGAGTGTTCCAAGTGTGTGTAAATGGAAAGGTGGGGACATATTCTGGCGAATTTCCGCTGGAGTTGTTCTAGTCTGTCAAGGGAAGTGTGTGACAACGGTGTGGGAGCATTGCTCGCATGTGAGAATATAGGTAGTATGTATGTCTGATAGATGTGAGATAAAGAATCACTGGTGAGTGTAGACCTTAGACTATGTATTCAACATGCTCCGACCAATGGAGGTCATGCTGAAAGATTATTCTGAGGGGTTTGTGTTTTTGTGCTCCGGTAAGCCAACTATTCCTGAGGGTGATGTGGGATGACGGTTATTGTGGTGGACGGGAGGAGGAGTGTTTTCTTCGTGGTAACTACCACGTACTGAAGCTGACAGGGCAGTTTGCTTTTTTCGAGCTCCGTAGTTTTTCGCAGGTTTTGTAGGAGCCAGCCGGCAGCAGGCCGGTCTGGAGCAGGGTAGGGACTGGATAGTTTAAAATTAGGTAGTAGATAGTTAGAGCGTTCCAAAATGCCCACGTCCGGTGAAAATCGCAGTTGGAATTCGGTCTCTCCGAAAGTTATAAAGAGGAACACGGGGACTTTCCACGTTCCACTGCACACGAAAACCCTCGAAGTTGCTGAGGCCCTGATTGAACATGGCTACCCCGACCTGATATCCGTGCAGCTGTCTACAGTAACTTGAGCTGCAAGGCCACGTTTCATTCCCGAGACACTCTGACACGACTTTGCCGAAACGGTTTCCATCTCATGTCAGTGGAAGTGCACGTCACTCAACTGGTGCCTGATTCCCTGGAAATCCAAATCCATGTTGTGCCCATCTGGGTCCAGCCGACATTATTATCGAAAGCCTGGGTGTCTTTGGATCGGCCGTTGGGCCTCTTTGCCATGGATTTGTCAAGACGAAGTCAGGGCTCGCGCGGGGGGTCCGGGAAAAAAATAAGGATTTTTCGGCTAACAGGCCAGGTTTTAGCACTCTACAGCCGCAAAGGAGGGTTCCCCTAGCACTTATTCGACAACCCCACTCCAGCTCCAAAAACATACTTCTCATGGATTTTTGGTATTTTCTGTACATCGTAGGTAGCCAAGCAAGGCAAATGGAACCCATTCAATGATTCAGGGCCATTGCCCTCGAAAAAATCGCAAAATCCGAAGTACAAGCGTGCTGCCCGTTCTAGCGCCAGCGGCTATGCAAAAACGTACATGTATGTCGTGTCCTGCAAAAGTCTGCCGCGTCGCGTACACTATGTACACGTCCGGGCTGGACAGTCGCGAAGTAATTATTTTAGTTGTTTTTAGAGAGAAAAGAAGATCCTTTGTTTTTGTTCGGTGGGATTGAAAGATCTGCCAGTGGACCGGAGAGCTACAACAATGGAAGCAGAAGAAAGCGCTTGCGGAATCTTCTCTGTCTTCGTGGCAACAGGACTTTAGTTTGCGAGAGACTTTCGTCCTGTCGTCGTGGACGAAATTCTTGTTGCTGCTACCAGAAAACTCGGGGAACGAAACGATCGTAAATCGTTATAATATAGGTGAAGCGGGTCGTGTCGGTAAACAGCTGCAGAATATTCTGCCGCCGTGGAGCAGCAGTCCAAACACTTTTCAGCTTCGGAGAATGAAGCGCTTCCCTTTTCCGTTGACAAGCGCTGCGTTCGCGGGTGTAATGCATTTTCGAATCCGCTTGCAGTAGATCGTCAGGAGCCAGAGGTACTAGGTAGGTGTCGTTGTGGAAAGAATATAATTATTACGTTGTAGCTGACAAGTTACATACATGTAGTGTCTCTTGACGTGCTGATCGCCATTGTAACATGGTATATCTTGGAAAATTTTAGTTCTGGACCCAGTGATTGCCGCCAGCTCAGCTCTGTTTCCGTCAAGTTTGCAGTGAATGCGTCCGTGAGGAATCCATTGTCTGGTTGTCTCCAACCGCCTATCGTAATGGATAGCGGTTGGAGTCTTGGGAAATAGCTAGCTGCTAGTGCTAGGCATCAAGTCTGTATGCTCCTTGCAATGAAAGTAACAGTTGCGATGTTTTGTACAAGTCCGAAGGTCCTTGAATTTTTTTATTGCTTTTTCGGATGAATTGGGTGGACCATCCTGGACGAAAAGTGGTACGACCATGGTCGTAGTGGTCGTACCGTGTGTGACGCCCCTGCGGCATGGTTGGGGTCTGGTAAGCCTCAATCCGCAGAAATCTAGGGAAAAACTTGGAGCACCAAAATCTGCTTCCTGCTCCTACTCACACACTACTGTTGTTGTTGTTGTTTGAATTCTTTAATCTCACGATGGCACCATCGCCAATAAGAGATAAATTTATGAGAGGGTGAGATTGTGGGTTAAACAGTTGGAAAGTGATTTACATCACTTTGAACTTTACAAGTATGGGAGAGGGTGAGCGCTGCAGGAGCAGATTGAGTTAATCAGCAGTGAGCAGATTTCTTGTTTGAAAGCAGGTCGGTTGTTGTTGTTTCAAATCTTTATTCTCACGATAGCCAGTGGCCAATAAGAGATAATAGTGTAAGAAAGGAGAAAGAGTGAGGAAGAATTGGGTGGGCAGGGCCTAGGGGTTAATGACTACTTAAGTGTACGGGCAGGGGTGGTCGCCACACGAGCATACAGAGTTGCGTACTTAAGTGTACGGGCAGGGGTGGTCGCTACACGAGCATACAGAGTTGTGCAACAGCAGGGATATCTCGGATTTGAAGGGAGTACGAGAAGGGATTTCGCGAAGCTGGGTGGGCAGGCAATTAAAGTAATGAAGGGCCTTGTACAGGGGAGAATGGAGACAGCGGTCAGTCCGCGGAGTTGGCAAGTGCCAAGTACGAGAGCGACGTAAATTATACGAAGGTTGCACGTTGCTAGCAGTATGCAGCGAGAGTATATGTGGTGGGGCATAATTGTGGCGCAGAGAATGCGCGAAGAGTATATGTTTAACTTTAAAGCGTGAAAATAATGTTGGCCATTTGATGCGATGCAAAAGGTGGGAGTGTTCTAAGTGTGTGTAAAGGGGAAGGTGGAGACATATTCTGGCGGCTTTCCGCTGGAGTCGTTCTAGCCTGTCAAGGGAAGTGTGGGACAACGGTGTGAGAGCAGTGCTCGCATATGAGAATATAGGTAGTATGTATGTCTGATAGATGTGAGATAAAGAATCACTGGTGAGTGTAGACCTTAGTCTAAAAAGAATATTGAAAGACTTGAGTGATTTTTTGACTATGTATTCAACATGCTCCGTCCAACGGAGGTCATGCTGAAAGATTATTCCGAGGTGTTTGTGTTTTTGTGCTACGGTAAGCGGACTATTCCTGAGGGTGATCTGGGGTAGCTGTTCAGGGGGGCGGTTATTGTGGTAGAACGGGAGGATGACTGTTTTCTTTGTGTTAACCAGCAGGTGCCATCTTTGAAGCCAGTCTCCAGCTGCTGTGACACTCTGTTGTAGGTTTCGGGTACAGTCTTGAAGAGTTCTCGCTATGGAAATCAGAGCGGTGTCATCTGCAAACTGGCTACAGGTGGTGCTGGGATTCTCACATGCGTGTGGAAGGTCTATGGTGTAGACGAGGAATAGAAGCGGCCCAAGAACAGATCCCTGAGGGACGCCGGCAGGGATCTCGAGGAAAGGCGATAGGTCGCCATCCACCTGGACCCTTTGCCGACGCCCCAACAGGTACCGTCGGAACCACTCCAGGGCGTTGCCCTGGACACCATAGTGGGAGAGTTTTGCTAGAAGGCCTGCATGCCACACACGATCGAAGGCCTTGCTTAGATCGAAAAAGCAGGCATTGACGTGTTTCCCGTCGTCTCTCGCAGTGGAGAGGGTATGGACGAGACGGGCGAGCTGCTGCTCAGTGCCGTCTTTCTCGCGGAATCCGGACTGCTGGTTGGGCAGGTGGGGTGTGATGTGCTTGTAGAGGAGTTGATGTGCAATTTTTTCTTGGATTTTTGATGTAGTGCTCAAGAGAGAGATGGGTCTATAATTTGTTGGTTGGGTTGGGTCACCCGGCTTGGGTACTGGAGTAATGGTGGCATCTTTCCACTCCTGTGGGATTTCTCCGGTTTGGAACGATAGATTAAAGAGGGACGATAACGACGGTGCAAGTTCCTTAGCCGCTTCTTTGAGGAGGCGGTTTGGAATAGAGTCAAACCCGGGGCTTTTGTTGGTATCAACTGCTCGGAGGAGTTTTTCGACCTCAGCTTGGGAAGTCGAGATTTCTTGAAGGGGACTGAGGATGTCAGGGGTGGTGTTGATGGCTGGAGTTTGCTCATCCGCATTGGCCACGGACAGCTTGCTCTGTGAAATGAAGAATTCGTTGAGGGCAGCGGCTTTTTGTGCTGGTGTCGTTGCAGGAGTTGCTTGGCTGACGAGTTCGGGTATGCGTTGTTTTGTAGCTGTAGTTAGGTGCTTCATGAGGCGGTGTAGGGAAGTAGAGGAGGCTGTTGAGTTGTTTACGAAATCCGATTTAGCACGACGCAGGAGGGTGGTGACACGGTTTCTTTGGGCAGTGAACGTGTT